TAAGTCAAGAATATCTGTGATACCCCATCAGTAATTTAGTTTTTTTTCTGCTTAGATTAACTGATTGCTACAAAAATGGCATGCGGACTAATTATAGGGCATGACAAGTACATGTGCTTTTCATATTCAATCTTGAAAAGCTCTTCATTACACCATAAAAAGGATATAGAGTTGCTGGTTAGTTTTAAAAAAAAGAGCCATGCTTACTATATTTTCGCTAAGTGTTCGCTTTTTTGTATGTCTGTTCTTTTTGCTGTTTTGTCGAAAATTTCAGTTTCAGAATTCGATTTTCAAGAAAGAGTTTCTAAAAAAAAACAGTTTTTAAATTTTCTTTTCTAATTTACCCCTGATTATTAGGGTTGATTGATTCGTGGCCCTTGGACAGTGTAGATGTGGAGGATAAAAGAAACCCCGAGAAAACGTCAAAATTTTTCTTCAATCTGTTTCTTCAAATGCGAGAAAAAGTGAACATTTTTCTTCAATCCGTTTCTTCAATTGTTCTTCAAATGCGATAAGACTATATCCAGACACCTCAAATGTGACATAATTGGTGCTGAGAATTTAAAACCGCTCTCAGTTTCTTGAGTGAAAATGTTTTGTCATTTATATTTTTGGATAAAAACAGTCTTTCTAATAAAATAATTTGGGCAAGATTAGGCCGTGCAAGGCCTCATATATGATTCAAAATGACCAAATAATTTTGAAGAAAACAATGGTAGAACCATTTTTGTTTTCGTGGTTATCAATTTAATTTTTCACTCATATGAAAATCGTAATTTCTTTTGAAACTCTAAATTTATCGTTCTAAAATCAAGTTTTTTGCCAATAATTTTTTTTAGTAGCTATGATACTACCTTTCTCCTTATTTATCCGCAACGTTATCGAGTGAATAAGATTTTTATTTCAACTGTTAAAAATTTAGCTATATTCCAAAAATACAAATTATGAAGCTTTTTTCAATTTTTCTTGGTTTATTTGTTCATTTTTGTGGACAATTTTTGTTCGTTTTTGTTCAATTGTAAATACTTATGATAAGTTTTAGCTTTATGATGAGCGCCAAGCTTTAGTCTAGCCTTTAGTATTTTTACCATGCAAAAAAATGGTATACCAAATTTGAAAATAAACAAAAAAAATGAAAGGTTTTTCGTTTATAATACTTTCCATGAATATGTTCGGTACTTTTTATCTAAGTTACTACCCAGCAACCCGCTACTTTTGTTTTATTCACGTCTTGATTTTATTCCGAGTTTTTTGAATGATTTATTTTTATCATCGGTCGAACCAAAGTCTACTTCGCCAAAAGTAGGATGGATAGGGTGTCATTTTCTTCTTAGCGCATTCCAGTGTTGAGTACAGAGTGGAAGTAGCAGCACATATTTCAACAAATTTGAAAAAAGCTGCCTAGACACGTTCCAACTGCAGCTCAGATCTTAAATTGTTACAATAAATATGAGAATTGGTTAAAAACCTTTTTAGATGAGACCCTGAAGAAACTATTTTTGACCTCAAAGTTTTCGAAATCAGCTTTTTTCAGTTTTATAGGAAATCACGTGACTTACTTGTTATAGTTGTACCACCCTGCAATGACAAAACTTGTTTCGAATCGATTTAAATTGAATTCAAATCAAATTAATAGCTATCTAAATCCGTTAAAAATGTACATTTCAAGAACTGGGCCCAACTAATTGATTATACTGATTATAGATTTTGTGACACTTAGATTTGAATATTAGTTAGATTTGACTAGCAAGAAAGTCAATGTGAAAACACGATTTCAATCCTGAAAATGTTCTTAAAACAGGTTTGCAATTTTTCATCTAAGATTTTGATGGAAATTCTAGTCAGAAATCCCTTCTCTGTAGCTCTCATCAATGTATTTCAATTTTTTAAAAATGAAATCCAAATGGGCAGCTCATCATTATGTGAAATTGACAGCATTTTCTGCTGTTTGCAACGTGAAGTTCGATTTTTCAGTATGTTTTTTCTTACATTTGATCGTCGAGACTTGAGCAACGAAAGCTTTTTTAACAATATTTAAAGGTTGAAAGTTTTTTGTTATATTTCCTCTAAAATTTTCTGGACACAATTGTTCTTTTTTTTTCGTATGAACAGACATCAAACATTAAAAAACATAAACATTTAAAAAAATAACAAAGAAGCAATCTTCACTCTGATCTGTGCCTGCAACGCAAAAATTTTAAACTTGATTTTCTACGCCCGAGAAGTTCTGTTTACGTTTTTAAGCGCCGATCAAAACATCGAATAACAAACGGATTGGTGCCATGGGCATATCTAGGGTTTTTCCTATGAGGTGGGGGGATTTCAACTAAGGTTCTCAATTTTCGTCGGCCTTTTTTAGGTGGGCAAAATTGATATCGTAAGCTCCTCCAATTGACTATAAAGACCCTATTTGGACCACTTTTTCTTCACTTTAGGTATTATTTTGAAAAACAAACAGTTAAAAAAACTTTGTGGAAATTTTTGAACAAAAATTGCTGAGAAATGAAAAAAATTGCTCAAGTTTAGTATATATTGGTAATGAAGGCGCTGTCAGAAAATTGTCGACAGGCTGCATTTTGCTTAGACCTGCATACCCTGACAAAACTAGTTTCGTACCCATTTAATTTGATTATCCATGTACATTTTAGGAACTGAAACCGATTTTAATTTGATTTAATTTGATCTTTCTTGAAGAGTTTGAATCGGTCGTGTCTAAATCGATTGTGTGTAAAAAATCAAAGTTAAATTGATTTGGTTTGATTTTCCGACACACTCAAATCCATCCAAATCTCACTAAAATCAGTTTGAAAATTATTTAAACCATTCAAGTCAAGTCCATTTTAAAAGACCCCTGAGCACATCGATTTAAGTATCTAAAAAATCCATTTCAAATCGATATTTTTGCCGACACGTCGAAAAAAAACATGCTATTTAAAAGAAAATGGAATATTTTATTCTCGATTTCCTAAAAGATCACACGCGATAGATTTTGTTGAAATACAAAAAAAAATTGTACTCAAAAATCAAATTTTGAGCTCAAAAATGTGCAAAGAAATTAGGAAAAATTACCAATGTAAGTCAGATTATGGGCAAAACTCTAAATAAAAAATTAGGGAAAATGTAATTACAATCGTATTTTGATCTCAAAGAATTATAATAAAATTATCGAAAACTATCATTGTAAATCAGATATTGGGCAAAAATTATGTAACAAATCATTAAAATGGTCAATATAGGTCAAATTTTTAGCTCAAAATATGCAAGGAATTACAAAATTATATGATTATTTTTAAAACTGTTTCGCATTTTTATTATGAGACTATTTTTAGGAGGCCAAATTTTTCACTGGATAAGCGCAAATAATTGTGTTTGCATGTTTCTGGATTCCAGAGACAAGTCTTTAAACATGTTAAAATTTTGTCGGAACGATCAAAGAGAATAAAAGGGTAAAAGACGAACAAAGGTAGCGTCCTTGTGGCGGAATCCGCTTGCCATTCACAAAAGACACAGTTTGGCCTCGTAAGGATACGTTATTGGTGTAAAATCAAAAATGGACCAAGAAAAAATGTAACTCGAAACACGAAACTAATGAGATTCGTACGAAAAAATTGACTGAAATCGACTTAAATCCGTTTTTATCCAAAAAAAAACAAGTTATGACTAAAAAAAATGGAGTTGAATCGGTTTTAAATCGACATGGAACGATTTTTTTATCTGGGATTTAAGATACTTTTAAATCGATTTTCTATTTAGTTTCTACTTTTTCTATTAACTATTCGAAATTTCTTATACTAAAATTGATATCAAATAATTATATCTATATACATTTTCATACTAAAGTCGATCTTAATCCCTTGTTGTCAGTGCGGGTAGGCTTTCATAGATCCTCTGCTAATCGCAGAAGCCATAGTTAATAGCAGATTCAAGAATAGTTTTCTCAAAAATAGCAAATTTATTTGACTTGAAGCGTTTCAATGTGTAAAAAAATATTAGTCAGAAACACTTTCTGAAGCGTGGTATTGAATATAGTTTTGTCGAGAATTATTGCTTTCATTTAAAACGTACTTTTTCATTACATAAACATTGGTTTGCTTTAAGATTGAAAAAGTTAGTCGTGTATTCTGTCGCATTTTTTTTTAAATTCTGCATTGAATCATCTCGTTTATAGATACACTTTTTACTTATAAATTTTGAGCCTAAATAAAAATATAAAATGTCGTCTTTTCTGGAGTCCTGGAAACCAAAACCGGGTACTTCTCTGCATTTCATT